TTGTTATCAAATGAATATAATGTTATATTAAATAAATAAATACATATAATAATATAAATAAATTATAAATATAAACAATTAATTATATAATACATGTCATGTTATAATTTATAAATTTATAATATTATTAGATATTAAATAAATATCACATTATTTTCCCGTAAAAGAATTCTCTGCCGATCATTTTCTTATTTATTTTATTCAACTCAACTCATCGTCCCATGTGTAAAATCCACGTAACATAAAGTTAGGGAAAATGCCATTTTCTGTTGTACATCATGCCACGTAAGCGGGCCGTCAATGGAGTTTATTGCAGAATTTCCAAGTTGAGGACTAAAAATGTGCCAAGTTAAGAAATCAGTACAAAATACTAAGTTAAGCCTTTTTCCTTTTTTTTCAACGAGAAAATGACGTGCTGATTGTGTACGTGTGGTCCGCACTCGAGGCTATATAAAAGGCGCCAATTCTCCTTTCTCAAATTCTCTGTTCTGTCTTCGACACAAGATTACAACCTTCTTGCATCACCCATTTTCGGAAAAGAAAAAAAAAAGAGATTACAACCTCGACAATCTCTGAGAGTTTCAATTCCGCCACCTAAAAACCCTTGAAATTGTTATCGATTCCGACTCTCTCAATTTGCAAAGTACCATTTAGATCGGTAAAGTAACTAGCAAATTAAAAGAGGGAACTTCCCCTGCTTTCCTTCACAGACCTGATCTTTCCTCCTCGTCTTCAAAATTTCAGCTTACAATATTTTCTAGTAGTGTCGACTCTGCTGGCCCTTCAAATTGTGACTGATTTTTACTTTCTCAAAATAGTGGTGAGTTTGAACTACGATGCAATCTCAAATGTTTTTCACTGGTGAGTCGATCACTCGGAAGCGAGTGAGTTTGAGAGGAAGGAGCCCCAAGGAGATGGATAGAGATGCACTTATTAAGAACGCGCAGTTGGAGCGCGGTCACCGCCTCAAGTCGCGAAAGAAGTCTGCTGCAGCTCTCACAATTCAGGTTATGTTTTGCTCTGACTCGAATCTGGTTATCTATTTGTTTTTTATTCTTATACAGATGGGCGCGAGAGATGAGCGTGGAATATAGACTATTTAGTGAAGTTGGTGCGCTGAAATTATTTGTGTCATGTTTATGCTACCTAATTTGGTAGCGGTTTATCTGCTGATTCTGGATTCATTATGGTCTGCGACCCCTGGATACCGAGGGCGTGGCGGCTCCCTTAGGTTCCCTCATCTGGGATACCTGGGGAAGAGGATCAAGGTGGCACTTTCCCCTTGAACAAGGGATGAGATGGATACCATCTTGGAAAAGACTCCCTACATATAGTTCCTTGAACACTTTATATCAGATCTTTCCTGAGAAGGCTAAGGATCGGAGATTCAAGTCTCCCTTCTTAGTCCAGACTCTTGAATTATCTGCGTTCGGTTATGTTTTTGGATTGCGTCTATTGAAGATTTCATGCTTTTCCGAATTTGCTTATGGTATTTATTAGATGATTTATGGAAGAAATTTAATATTTTTATAATTGAAATGCTTCAACTCCAAATTGTATAAGTTGTGAATGATCTTAGATAAATAGATGGGAGAATGTAACTATGTTTACTTAGGGGGTTGTGATGGTCTATTGCATGTTCTTTCTAATTTGGCTGAGAGGAACAGCTGTTTGATTACTTCTTTCTAGTGTTTCGTTTTCTGCAAAGTGTTGATTCATTACTAGCTACAGAAATGCTTCAGAGCAAGACGGGCAGTGAAAGCTGCACATTCTTTAGTACGTGAGCAGTTCTATGGAAACTATGCCAGACACTGCAAAAATGTGGACAGGTTTTGTTAGATCCTTCCCAGCATGTGAACTGCTACAAGTTGAACAACTCCTTGTCCCCATCTAATGAATGCGAGCTTCATCTTATCATTAATTCTTAATTGCAGGCACTGCTTTGGCCCAGATTCAGGGTTCTTCCGCCAGCTATGTTTCTTTTTCAATGCAAAAGATGTTGATGACTTTTCAGTCCTCGTTGAGACATGCCGATTACTTCAGCATTTCGTTCAAGATAGTGGTACTTTTCATCAGTACTTACAAAAAGAGTTGTCTAATGAATAGCTAATTGAATGTTGAGTAATATGATGTACTTCTGCAACCAATCATATTTGGTAACTTTTAACAATATAAGGATATTTTTAAATTGGTCCTGTTCAACATGGAAGCACAATTACTGGGAAAGATTTCTTGTTCTCTTATGCCGTTGGATTCGTGTCTTTAATTTGTTTGGGAATGATTAGTTTATTTTATGAAGTGTCTTTCGTGGTGAATGCTTCTACAAATCTCAAATCTGATGTTACCTTCCTATCCATCTATGATCTAGTAGCTTTTTTCCCCTTTTTTGTTTTTTTGCTCAGTTCCTTTTCCTCTTGGCTTAAAATTTGGTTTGTGTATGACAATAACTAAACAAACAACAGGAAATGTTGAGAGCCTCTTTGCAAGCATCGACGGTTCATTGAATCATGTTTTAGCTGCATGCAAAGTGCGGAAGCTGGCATTTGCTTGTTTGCAGGCTATACATCAGAACAGGTTCGGGCATCCTCACCTTATTAAGTCAATTAAGTGTTGCTTTATTAGTTCATAATTATTTTTTCTCTCATCAGTGCGCCTGATGAACCTTCCTTATTTGATGTTTATAATAGCTCTTGCAGATGTTCCTTTGACATTTCAGGGACCTAAAATTTAAAAACAAAAATGAGGGAAAGAATGAATGCATGACTTTAATTGTA